TACCATCAGTTGTACACATGATTTAGAGTATCTAACGTTTGGCAGGTAAAACACTCGGACGAGTAACCGATGTGGACTGACAGACAGATATGCAACCAGACGGTTCGACCTCATTTTTTTCAAAACAAACACAAAGCAATCCGATCTGATTTATTCAACCAAAGGATTTACAGACCTGTACATGGGGTGGGGGATAAGTTCGCCGAAAGACAGATTTATGTGTCTCACGAAGAATTCACGGGCACTTAGGATGTACGATCATACAATACTGCTTATCGCAAAATTCCAAGGGATGGGAAACCGTAGATTAGGTTTTCTCGTGCTGATCCAAATGAGAGTAAACGCGACGTAATTTTTCACGGCGTTTGCGACTCTGACCACCTTTAGCACCGCACTCACCAACAGTGAATGGGTCCTGTCGAACTGTATTGAGGCGTTTCGAATGACTTATCAATCTCCAAGGTTTCTTCTGCACTGTTCCGGTACCGGTGGCTGTAGACGCCGTCCAATTAGATCGAATCGATTCCGTACCAGACAACAAACTTGAACCACCAACTGTATCTGTGGTGACCCAAGAAGAGGAACTCATAGTCGAACCGGTCTCCAACGCATCCGAACTGAGGTCTCCGACCCCCAAATCCGGACGCAGCAGTTGCTTTCGAGAGCGCACGTGCGGGCGATGTTGAGACGCCTTAGAAGATCGCGGAGGGAAATTGAGAGGGAACAGATAAGATTCAGAACATAAGTCGCAAACACAAGTGGACCGGATCACAAATATAGGGACACGCTAAGTTCCGATTAATACACGAATCAAACAAAAGACCGGAAAGAAAATCAGAGAAATACTGAGGTGTAAAGCACACCCATTACCAAAAACGGTGACTGAACCCAGAATCTCAAATTAGGAAAACAAGCGATTCAACATTGGACAACCCATTGACCGAGCATTTAAGACATTCAAGTCGCACATGTGAGATGTCTCTGGTTTATCGTAAGTTGGGGCTGACTACGAAGTGCCCACAAACAAGCCAGTACTTATTGGTCGGGGTGGAGGGCTAGTAACCAACAAAGCTATTTTGCCATCCTTCAGCCATGCTAACAAAATCGAAACTAACTACTGATGCTTTCGACGTCTTGCACGTTAACCCTACACTAAAAAGGGACATGCATCGAAATCCTTGTTACTGGTTCCCAGTAGATCAAGGATGCTATCATTCGTCCCGCTGAAGGTGATTAGGTCTTTTGAATAAAAGCCACGGGAGAGGCCTCTAAATACACTTCATACCTCAATGTGAGTAATGAAGTATCACAATACCTGAGCATTTTTTTGAAGGTGTCCGTTCATTTTCCAACACAAAGAGACTGCACGTGATGTGATTATCTGCATAACTCCATTGTCTAAGGAGCACGAGAGATGGGCTTCTCACATATGCAGATCCAATCATGTAAGACGGTGCAAGATTAACGATTGTGAGAACTGAACCGCATTAACACCTATCACAGACCCTGCTCCTATATACACAATGCGAACTCTCTCTCGTTCAAACCAAAATCTCACTATACCGCAGTTTGCCATAACTCTACTTTGTCAAGTCCCCTTACGTTTTACCGACTTCTGGTGTTCTCCAATCACCCTAAAGTAGTTGTGCTACATATCCAGAAGATACTGCCGGGACGAGCAGATTTATTTACTTAGATAACACCATCGGGTAGGGGTCAATAGGATTGCTCAACAATTGGTTGATGTTTTCATCGATGCTCGCTAGTCTGATAGTCTGCTTGTCTCTGCCGTATTTGCAATAGTAAATCCTTTAATCCAATCGCGGGTCCCGTGGGAATAAAACAATAACTATTGGGTGTATGCAAACTACTCCAAGTGTGATTAGTACCCCATAACAGTTGTAGTCATGGGTCATGACCTAGCGGTTTTTCCAGCACAGGGGTTTTCGTGGACATATGAATGTAATATGTATCTGGGTTAAAACAGAAATACAGCAGTTTTTACTTATTTTTTCAATTTTTTCTGTCCACCAACTCTCCGAATAGTTTGGTTTTCACAAACAATGACCAATTATTTTTGTCCCTTTAATTTATTTCCTGTGTCACTGTATCAATGCACCCGAGCACACAGAAAAAACAACTATTGAAAGGATAGAAAAATCAGCCGCAGCATCAACACAATCACCCAGACCAGATTCAAAGACGATAACCGACAAACAAAATGAAAAAAAAACTAACGGTAAATGAATAACAAAAAGAGGGGCAATAAACACCAACTAAATACCGGATGACATTGTTATTTTATCTTTTTCTCTGTGACTATCAGATTATCGGTTAGAGAAAACAAGATTAATTAGAAATCTAATTGTCTACGGGAAACGCGATACAATAACACTGAATCACGTGACGTGCGTGAGCCTGAGGGGGGGTAAGCGTTTGAATAAAGAATTTGCCGGATTTATCTAATGAGAACTGAGACCCATAACACCGATTAGCAAGAAAACTGACGCGCCAAAACAAGCAAAAGAGGATCAACTTTCCTGCTCTATCTGAGAGAGAGAGAGAAACAGTGAGCGGAAGAAAAAACAAAATCCTTTAAACAAGAACCCAACCATCAAGGAAAGCATAACAAATTACTGAAACAATTAGTTTTAGTTTAAATGAACATGCGAATGCTAACGTCAAGTTCCGGAATTGAACGCATCTGTACAAACAGCACCACCACGGAAAACTCCGGAAAAATGTAGCAACAAGTAAGACGAAACTACCAACCATATTAAAGGAAAACCTGAAATCCATACAGTGAGAGAGATGGAATGCGAAAAGGATGCCCCTCAGTGTTTTTGGTATACGTAGCGGCGGTCAGACGATGACGTGGCGTAGAGGTATGAAGAAGTTAGCCTCAGTATTGGCTTCGGTTGGTGCAGCTCGGATTCCAAGCTCTGGGCCCAAGGGATGAGGATTACCGATGGCTAGAGAAGCTGGAAGATACGGCTCAGAATACATGTCAGTGGTGCGATTGCTGTGTGATTTGTTAGGCGAAACCCCGTTCCCCACAAAAAAACTTTAAAAAGTGTACGGTGAAACTACAGAAAGATTCCCTCATTTATACATTCATTCTCTGTGTTCTCTGTGTTCTCTGTTTTCCCCATTTTTATCTAATCTTTCTGTACTCCTCTATAACTTCATTATCATTGTTTCATCACCAAGTTTCATCAGCCATCGAAGGGACATTCTCAATGCAGTAACTGGCTGAGCGCCTACGAGTGTCTCTTTCCTTATGTAGGTCGTTGAGTCAGGTAGAGATGTGGCGTTGTCTGATTGNTGCCGATAGGGGATGAGGTGGATGCGAGCAGTCTGACGGCCGGTTGTTGATCAATCGGTCTAATTGTTACTGCTGTCCTGTTGTGACGTGTGATACGATCCGCCTTTTGTCTTTTTGTTGCATAGGGGTGTAGACTTGATCGATGTCAATGTGTCGGTTGACAGAGTTTTCCGA